TACGGGGGATTGAGCCCACAAACTAGACATGTGCCCTTGGCTAGAGTTGAACCCAGAACCCTTCAGTCCATAGGCCAAAGTTCTATCCACTGAGCCAAACCAGCTAGGGCTATGCAGATTATTAAAACTACCTGAAACAAGTATCTCCTCACCTACGTAAACTTAATACCAGATGCTGAAATCACAGCGCTTCTTTTGCTGGGCACTGAACATGGAGATATGGTGTTACGAGACTGCCACTTGAACTGTTGTCTTTCCAGTTACGCGAGGAATTTGACCGTGGGATTGATGTCTCTCTGGAAGAAGAGCACAGTGTTCATGATGTGGCTGCCTTACTGAAGGAGTTCCTGAGGGACATGCCAGACCCCCTTCTCACCAGGGAGCTGTACACCGCTTTCATCAATACTCTCCGTGCGTAACACAGCCATCAGTAGGAATGTGTTCCTGGATTACCGGGATGTCCAACTCACTCATCCAAGCATTGTGCATGTGTTTCCCACTAACTTTTGGTCCTTATTTATTGGTCTCTAATGAGTGGGTTATTTGGGGAATTTTCTGGGATTCACCCTGGAGAGAATTAGCAAGAAGCAAGTTGCAATAGAACAAATGGATGTAGCCAAGAATACGGGATGCTTTCAGATGACCCTAGGACAGTAGAAAGTGCTGTCTATTGATGCTTTGAAGTAATAGCAGGAGTTCCCTTTGAGTCTGTGCCTAAAAATGAGTTTGCATTTCTTGCACAAAGAAGGAGTGAGAAAGGGACTCAGATTGAGAAATGGGGACAGGCAATATTCCAGGGAAGCAAGATGGTGTAGTCCCGTGCCAGGACTTTCCCTGTGGCCACTGGCAGGCTATAGAGACAGATCCCATGGAGGAGAAAAGGAAGGTGAGGGTGGGGTAAGAATAGGTTAGAGCTGAGTCAGCCTCCATACCTTTCTTCCTCCAATGCTGTAATTCAAATAGGATCACAAAAGAGAGAGAAGACGCTGTCGTTGCGCTGTGTCTTAGTTATTGCCAACAAAAAGTCTATCTCTTCTGTATTGCTCAACAGAAGAGTTTCAGCTATGTTATAAACTCAAATTTTAAAATGTTTGCCAATTCTCAGTCATTGTTAGTAAATATTAACCACAAATGAAAGACAATAATACACAAAGTAAATGATTAGTAATGCCAGGAAAAGGAGGGAGAGGAAAGGGAAATTAAGGTACCTTCCTAGCCTGGATTATAATGCTTGCTCAAGATGTTACATTTCCCCAGGTCTAATGAATCTTTACATCCCTCATAGAACCTTGCTGCTAAATTGCTAAATCAGTGGGAGTGTGGGTGAAGGAAAGACATGTGACCTGATCATCTCTTTCTGAAGAAAGTTGAGAGGAGGTCTGAGCCTAAATCATGTGAATTCCCCCATTTTACTGACCTAGAGCGCCTCTTCTTGCCTTGCTTAGTGTTGGAGCCAGAGGAACAGCTGGGCACCTTGCAGCTCCTCATCTACCTTTTACCTCCCTGCAACTGCGACACCCTCCACCGCCTCCTCCAGTTCCTCTCCATTGTGGCCAGGCACGCCAACGACAACGTCAGCAAAGATGGGCAAGAGGTATGCACCCTTCTTCTGCTATAGAGACTCTGCCTCTTCCCTTTGCTTGTTTTCAAAAAGCAAGCCATCACCCGGCCGGCGTGGCTCAGTGGTTGAACTATGAACCAGGAGGTCACGGTTCGATTCCCAGTCAGGGCACATGCCCGGATTGCAGGCTCGATCCCCAGTGTGGGGTGTGCAGGAGGCAGCCGATCCATGATTCTCGCTCATCATTGATGTTTCTATCTGTCTCTCCCTCTCCCTTCATCTCTGAAATCAATAATAAAAATATTAAAAAGAAAAGAAAAGAAAAAGACAACCCATCGATTTGGTTAAACAGTTCACCCAGAGGAAATGACTCCTCCCCTTTCCCAGCCCATCTGTGCAGGAAGAACTAATGCAGGGTTTTGTCTTGAGGGACAGTTCCTAAGTGCATTAACCTCCTATGTTTCAAGGATGCTTCTCAATGAGGCCGTCATTTCATGAGGATGCTTACCTCAAGACCTCAACTTTCCCTTTGTGTAGCAGACAATGGGCTACAGAGATGCTTACAGTCATGAAAACATGGAGTCATGGAGAGGAGGGGAGATGGCTGTCCTTGTAGTTAATTTGATTTGCTTCTGTGACTTGGAGCTGAGATGTGATGTCACCTCTTTATACTTCCGGTTTGTTCCCGGAGCTCCCTTCTGCCCTGTAGCTAGAAGTCTACTATCTTCCTTTTGAGAGGTCCCTTCTCTCCTTAAACCCTTCCCCCCAAGTAGGGACCGCCTCAATGCAAGGGAAGGCCAGCCTGCTTCCAAACCAGATGTAGGAGGAACCTGAAGGGCTCCCCCATCTGAGCTCTTGGGTTCTGGTTCACTTTGGTCATACTCATATGCTTCAAGGTGTTTTTAGGTTTGTGCCTCGGACAAGAGAGATGCTTGCTTCAATTTTAAGTGACCTTTTAGCCAGCGACCTATCTAATCTTCACCTTAACAAGAGACCTGTTTCCCTTTTTGATACCATGGAGTCATCTTTCTCCTTACCCTCGGATCCCCAGATCTCAGACTCTCAGTATGCTAACACCCATTATAAACCAGCAAGCAGGGGCCAAAGGCGCTCCACACTTCACCACAGAACTCAGCTGGATTGTAGATTCAGGTCTGTGCTTGCCAAATTTCTTTCCCCAAAGCCATGATCATATATAATTTTTTCACTTTAATCCAGAAAGGCAATTCTGCATGTTTTATCCTCATCCTTCCTTTAGGTATAAAAAAATGGAGCTTTCCTGAGTTAGCCATTTATCTGTATAGAAGTTATAATTAGTGAAACTTCTGCTGGCTTCAGATTTCATAATATGGTACTGACACCTCGTTTGAGCAGACACAGCCCTTTGATGGATACACTGTCATTCTCATAATTGTTAAGTAGGCATATGACCCCTCTGGGAGTCATCCTTTATTGATTATAGATATAACAGGAGCTGTAGAAACATCTGCCTAATCATTGGGTAAAGACAGAACTCTTTCTATGTTCCTAGGTGTGTCAGGGCTGTGTGATGTGTCTGTGTAAAAATTTGACAGCTGGGTCTCAGCTGATTAAGGAGGAGTTGAGGAAAGCAGAAAGTCCAATTGAATTCACTCTTGCTTTTTTAGACTCATTTCAGTCTTTTAGTCCAAATGCTGAACAAGACTCCATTGCCTATGCCAAAGAGAAGGAAATATTCTTGGCTAGGTACAGATGAAACTTAGCATGCTGAAATACTAGCTACCAATTATGTGTCTCTTACCATGTGCTAGCTATGTACTAAGGACTTCATATATTATAGTTAATTCTTTATTACACAAGGGAGCTAGCATTGCCCCCGTGTTTCAGAAGTAAACTGAGAGAGCAGTGGTCGGCAAACTGCGGCTCACGAGC